ACCCGCGCGGCCCGGCCCGGTCACCGTGCGGCAGCCTGCGGGCCTGCCCGCTGCTCACGCAATTGTCCCCGCTACAGTCGCCTTCCCCAGCGCTCTCCGCGATCGCTTTCTGCCGATGCCAGTAGCGTCCGCATCAGCCTGCACAGCCCAGCGGGTTCCCGCACCGCCCGGCACGCAGGCTCTGCAGACGGATGTGGACGGGCTGGATCGATGGGCGCTAGTTGTATTGAGATTCAACAAGACCAAATGCCGAATGCATTTGGATCACAACAACCCCATGAAGCGCTACAGGCTGGTGCCAGACTGGCTAAAAAACTGTCCCGCGTAAAAGGGACAGGGGGTGCTGCTGGTGACAGCGTCGGAAAATGAGGCAGCGTGTGCCCAGGTGGCCAGGAAAGTCAGTGGCATCCTGGCTAAGAGGAGCAGGGCAGTCATCCTGTCCCTGCCCTCTGCACTGGGGAGGCCACTCCTCGAGTACTGTGCCCAGTTCTGGCCTCTTTAATCCATTCAGGAAGGAGACTGAGGTGTTGAGAGTGGATCCAGAGAAGAGGAATCAAACCGGTGAAGGGTCTGAAGCACAAATGCTGTGAGGAGCGGTGGAGGGAGCTGGGGCTGGTTAGCCTGGAGAAAAGAGGACTCGGGGTAGGTGACCTTACCACTCTGTACAAACACCTGAAAGGAGGGTGTAGCCAGGCGAGGGTTGGCCTTTTCTCCCAGGAAACCAGTGACAACACAAGAGGACACAGTCTTAAGCTGTGCCAGGAGAGGGTTAGGGTGAACATCATGAGGAATTTTTTCACAGAAGGCGTGGTGAGACATTGGAATGGACTGTCCAGGGAAGTGGTGGAGTCAACGTCCCTTGGTGTTTCTAAAGGAAGAGTGGATGTGGCACTTGGTGCTATGATCTGCTGATGTGGTTTTTGGGTCAGAGGTTTTACTTGATCTGAGATTTTCTACATTAGCTGATTCTGTGAAGCTGAATGTGAGCTGGTGGAGCACTGGCTTTGGGGTGTGGGTCTATGGGCCCAGGCTGAGCAGCACAAGCAATTGAACTGGGAGGCTCCTTCTGTGGCAACTGCTGGAAGCCATTCTAAGAGGGAGACACAGCTTTCTGTGTGGGGTCCCAGTGAGGCAGCAGCAGGTGTCAGGTGGAGGGGAGCAGATTTCAGGCACTGTGCACCAGCTGGTTTTGTTCCATGCTCACCACCCTCTGTGTAATGCTGATCCATGGCATATCCTTGTTTCAGGTCCTGTACCTACCTTCTCCTTAGCACTGCCAGTGCCAAGGGTCACATCATGGGGCTTTTCTGCATGTCATTGAACTGATCCAAGAAAATGGAATACCAAAGGACTTAGCTGCAGTTTCCTGTGGGACAACAGAGGGACAATAGGACAGGGTATTTCCAGCTTCCTGTATGGGCACTCGAAATTGAAGTTAGATGCTGTGAAAACCTCCTCTGCAAACTGTCAGAGCAAGCACTCATGGCAGGAACTCAGGCCTGGTTTCCGTCATTAGTAACTTTGTTAATTTTATTGTATGTTGAAATTGATATTTTGAAGCTGTCAGACTTCTGTCTGAAATTACACCTATTCTTTCTAGAAGTTTTGAAATTATTCTAGCTGGAGGGCATTAGTTCACATCACCTGCTTTCACTTTTAGTGGATGTTTCCAACCAAAGTAAATAAGACCAACTTTTTTTTTTTTTTTTTTTTTAAACAGATGACTGGTGAACCAGAAAGATGCAGTAACTGGGTACCAGAAACCACTGTTTACACAGTATTTTGTAGGATTTCAAAATGAGAGCATATCTCTCAAGAGGGCGTATTGTGAGAAGAAAATGTGCAAGGCATAGCCTTTGTCTCTGCTCTAGTACAAGATATGTCATTATACTTTTTTCTTGCACACTGGAAGATCAAAAGTAAACTGCTCTTCTCAATCATAATACAGATAGACTGAAGTGACTCCTGTGCTCACAGAGGGTTATGCACATAGGGTGTTACAAGAACATATTTTGAACATAATTTATTGAATGCTGGGTACATTCATTCAAGGAGGCACACACAGTGTGTTATTTTTTCCTTTTAAAAAATCTCATAACTGAATGTTAATACTCTCTTAGCACAATGCCTTGTCTGCAAGACTGAGATTTTTATCACCATAAAATTTTCTTTTGATTTAAAAGGAACTTTATATTCTAAGACTCTTGAGTACTGTCAGTGTGAAAAATAAAGATAAAAGGCACATAACTTGTAATGGAAAACTGTTCAGTCTGTAGTTATCATGTTCTGTTTACCTTGAGAGCTCACCTGCATATGACTGGGGGAAATCCTTTTTTGTCTATCACCATGCTTTTTCTTCTGTTTCTGCACTTTTTTTTTTCTTTTCTCATATTTTGCTATCCACTTTTTTAAGAGCTCACAAATTAAGTAGGGCTAAAAAGGTGTATGATGATGTTATTGAAACAAACTTGGTGTCCTAACATTTAATCTCAAATTACAATCACACTTGTGCTTTTATATAACTGCCTTTTTTCAGAAGCCTCTCTCAAAGCAAAGCAGTCTGTCTTGACTCTCTCAGGAAGCTGCTGCTCCAGTTCTTGTTTCCAATCTTACACCATCGCTGTAGCAGTTTCC